GTGGCAGTGAGGTAGGACCCTTGTCCAAAGTTATAGTTTTTTTTTGCAGAGCAGGGCTGTGAACTTAGACCCCTCTGACCCCAGTGCCTATGATCTTTTTTTTTGCTTCCTGAAGCTGGGAGGGGTGAGTGGGAGGAAAGGGCTTCAAGAGAAACACGCAGTGCTTTCCTGGGCCTGGTGTGGCCGGAGGAAGTGGTGGCAGGCAGCAAAAGACAAGAGATGAGGCACTGCCGTGACCTGAGGCCAGGAAGGGGTCTCTGAAGTCACTGTGATTTTTTTTTACATGCCCCCATCACTGCCAGGCTGTGGCCATGGCCTGGCCCCTCTCCTCTTTTTTTTTGGCCATGGAAGCTTCCAGTGCCTGGTGCAGGTGGGATTCCTGAGAGTAGGGTGAGAAGTGTGGGCTCTCGGGCCAGGCTCCTGGCCCAAACAAGTGGGGAATGACACAGTGCTGGCCTCTCAGAGCTGCTGCGAGGAGCCCAGGGGCTCACCCAAAAAGTCAGCACATGTGAGTGCTTAGACCAGGGCAGGGCCTAATGTGACCTCAGCCAGCTCTGGCAGCCATGATTTTTTTTTCCGTGATTACTGGGGAAAATGGCTTTCTGGCTTTCTGCTAGAACTTGTTTCTGTCTGGTGAATTGAAGATGCTGCTGACATTTGGCTATAATAGACTGTCCTGGGCTACTTTTTTTTTAATCAAATAAGAACATGTCATTATTACCCATTTTCAGAGTCAGGGGTAAATTTTTTTTTGGCCACTGAGCCCCGCAAGGTATACTGACATGAAAAGTTATTTTGTTTTATTTTTTTTTGAGATGTAGTCTTGCTCTGTTGCCCAGGCTGGAATGCAGTGGTATGATCTTTTTTTTTTGCAACCTCCACCTGCTGGGTTCAAGTGATTCTCCTGCCTCAGCCTCTTGAGTAGCTGGGATTACCGGCATGCACCACCATGCCTGGCTAAATTTTGTATTTTCAGTAGAGGTGGGGTTTCACCATGTTGGCCAGGTTGGTCTCAAACTCCTGACCTCAGGTGATCCATTTTTTTTTTGCTCCCAAAGTGTTGGGATTATAGGAGTGAGCCAACGTGGCTGGCGACATTTTTTTTTTTTATCGCAGCAGCAATGGGCCCCATGGCAGGCAAAGTCAGAGAAGACTGGTTTTTTTTTGTGAACATCAGTCCTAGGGTGACCTTTGGCCTCAGACTGACACACTGCTGTTTTTTTTTAAGGATCCTAAAGGCTGATTGGGTCTCCCCAGGCCTGGCTGCACGCTCGCTTTTTTTTTAGATGTCCAGGCCCCGGGAGTCCAGGCATGTCTCTAACAAAGGGCTGATCTTTTTTTTTTCCTCTGTCCTTTGAAGCTTTCTGCATAGGCTCAGGGTATGGCAGGCCCATTTTTTTTTTTGACATCCCTGTCCCCAGAGCCAGCAGGACCTCCGCAGACTCCCCTGAGTTTTTTTTTGAAATACAAAAGGAGGAGACACAGGAGACCCCAAAGGTGGGAGACAGGAATTTTTTTTTTCCCTCAGCCAGCTTCCCCCAGAGCTGCCCACCCAGGCCGCTCCCCATCCTGTTTGCCCCCAGGCCATTCTCTCCCCCATGCTGGGGCTCTGCACAGGTCAGGAATGAGGGAGGCAGGGCGGGAGAAGCCTCTGCCTTCACTGCTCTGCGAGGGAGGGGGAGATGTTTTTTTTTTTTCAGGCGAGAGGAAAATCCCATGTGGGCGACTCTGCCTCGGGGGGCCTTGGTTTTTTTTTCTGTGGTGCATTTAGGCCAACACAGCAGCTACCCAGGCGTGTGATGGGCTTTTTTTTTTACTGCTGTGTGCGATCCGCGCCATTTGGTTCCCTACAGATGCCACCAACTTTTTTTTTTCTAGGCTCCCTGCCTCTGAGGCTTTCCAGACAGTCCCTTCGTGCCTTTGGTTTTTTTTTCCCTACACGGACACAGCACTGCTGCCTCCAAGTTCTCCAAGTTCTCAGGGTTTTTTTTTGGAGAGCCAGAGGCAGGCAGAATCCAAACAGGAAGAGGGTATGGCTTCACAGTCTTGTCCATGTGCATGGCCAGATGGAAACAGACAGAACGAGCCCCTTGCATGCCTGTTTTTTTTTCTGGGAAGGAGCAGCTCGTGGAGGGATTGAGTGTGCACTTCCTGCTTGCCTTCTGACCTCAGCACCACCCCACACACCCTCAGTGCCTGGCGCATGCCCTCCAGGGCAGTTTTTTTTTGAGAGGGGGGCAGGGCATGCTCTGGCTTCCTCGGCTGTTCTCTTACTGGTTTTTTTTTTCCTTTTAAAATCATGGCCCCATTTGTAAAATCTGATGCCAGCTGTGGACATTTTTTTTTGCACACACGTGGATCTGCTTGGAGCCTTGAGGCCCACACGTGAGACTCAGTTTTTTTTTTCCTGGCCCACAGAGTTGTGGATTCTCCTCCCGCAGCCCCCACTGCTCCTTTTTTTTTTATTCTTGAAGCAAGAAGTGTGACTGGCTGCAGGCACTTCCTTGGTGTTCTTTTTTTTTTGGAGTTTCTTCCATCTGGCATGCTTTGCTGTTTTTCTATGAATTCCGAGTTTTTTTTTTGCTGATGTGAGCTAATCTGACAGCCTCGGTGAGCTGGGGCAAGAGTCTCTTTTTTTTTTGCCTCGTTTACGGCTCGCCCGTCTTGGCATGGCCAGGAGCTGGGGTTCAGAGTGCCCTGCCATAGAGTGCCCCCGGCCCTGGTGCCCGAGCAGTGCAAAGGGCTTGATGCTGCAGGGCCTGCCAGGGACCCCCTGGGTCAGGCTCTGCTCCCCCAGGGCACATATCCTTTTTTTTTTAGCCCCGGCTGCCCTCAGCAGTTTCCTGGTCCTCCTTCCATGAGCAGGAGTTTTTTTTTCAGTCATCAACTTCTCTGTGCCCGGGAGGAAGAGATAAAACACAGGGAAGTTTTTTTTTACACGGCCTGGGAGGCCTGGGTGTCCTGGCCCTGTCACAAGGCTGTGCTGTTTTTTTTTTCTCTGCTGCTGCCAATTTGAGAAGGAGAGAAGAGGCTGTGGCGCCTGCTTTTTTTTTTGGGAGAGCTGAGGGCGCACCCCCAGGGCTCCTCTGCCTGGGCCTCCTCCCTTTTTTTTTTCTCCTCTTGGCTACTGCCCGTCTTCCGGTCAGTTCTTGCTGCTCCTCCCTTTTTTTTTCTCCCTTCCTAAGGAAGAGCTCTCTCTTCTCTCTTCCTTGTCCATCCCCTTTTTTTTTTCCCCACACTCCACCTCTGACATTCCTGCCATCTGCCCCAAGGACTTAAGGTTTTTTTTTATGTGCTGACTTGGGGACACAGGATGGAGAATGGACTTGCTTGCTGAGGGTTTTTTTTTGGGAGTCCCAGCAGGGGTCCCAGGGTCAGGATGTGGGAACCACTTCCCTTTTTTTTTTTTCCCTTGGTGTCAGTTCACGGCCACTGACTGCCTAGAACTAGGCTCCTGGTTTTTTTTTCACATGGGCCTTCTATGACTTGACCTGGCATGTCCTGGGGCACAGGCAGGCCTGCGGTGCTCTGGCCGCCCCTTGAACTTCTCAGGCACAGGGCCTTGTCTCAGCACCATTTTTTTTTGGGGCGCCTCCCACTGAGGCCAAGGAGGTACTCTCAAGCTGAGACCAGCACGGCTGGGCTGTGAGGGGAGGCTGAGGCTGCAAGGCCCCTAAACCTCTATGACGCATGAGGCTGCATCAAAGTGAGAGGTGAAGCCAGCTGGACTTCCTGGGTCGAGAGGGGACTTGGTTTTTTTTTCGGTCTAGGTAGAGGACTGTAAACACACCAATCAGCGCTCTGTGTATAGCTTTTTTTTTGTAAATGCACCAATCAACACTCTGTAAAAACAAACCAATCAGCACTGTGTTTTTTTTTTAACGACTGTAAACGCACCAATCAGCACTGTGTCTAGCTAAAGGATTGTAATTTTTTTTTTCAGCACTGTGTCTAGCCAAAGGATTGTAAACACACCAATCAGCACTCTGTTTTTTTTTACCAATCAGCCCTCTGTGTCTAGCTAAAGGATTGTAAATGCACCAACCAGTTTTTTTTTAAATGGACCAATCAGTGCTCTGTAAAATGGACCAATCAGCAGGACATGGGTTTTTTTTTATAAGGGAATAAAAGCTGGCCAAGCCAGCAGCAGCAACCCTCTTGGGTCCTTTTTTTTTCAAAGAAACTTTGATCTTTCATTCTTCATAATAAATCTTGCTGCTGCCCATTTTTTTTTTCCACACCACCTTTAAAAGCTGTAACACTCACTGCGAAGGTCCGTAGCTTTTTTTTTTTAGTCAGCGAGACCACAAACCCACGGGAAGGAGTAAATTCCAGACACAAAGTTTTTTTTTCCCCATGGAGACACCTGAGATTCACTGGGAACTTTCCTACCAACTGTGTCTTTTTTTTTTTTCCAGGACTGCATCACCAGAGGGAAGTGGCGTCTGCCAGGGCCCAGGGTTTTTTTTTCCTGCCATCTGGAAGGGACTGAGGGACGAGCGCTAGGGATGCTATAGCCACCTTTACTTCCAAGGACTGCCCAGAAACAGCCTGTGAGAATAATGCCGTCTCCTGCCTGTTTTTTTTTCCACTATTTTTAGCTTCTCAGAGAGAAAGGGAATGGCCACCTAGTAATCCTTTTTTTTTACCCCAAGACCGTAGCCCCTGGATACCAGACTGGAGAGGTGCTGCCCAGGCAGAGAGACCAGCAGCCGACCCAGATGGTTTTATGTTTAGTCAATGGCTCAAAGGCATCTTTTTTTTTGGGAGATGCGGAGAAAGTCCTGTGAGGGTCTCTGGAGGCTGCTAGAAGACGAGAGCTGCCTGCCTCTGGGGGTTCTTGAGGTGGGAGATTGCCAGTAGCAACCCACAGATTTTTTTTTTCCTGGCCGAGCTCCAGAGCTCCTGAGCAACAATCCAAAGGACCGCCGTGGTCCAGCCCAAGACCTGGCACTGGCACTAAGGCCCCTGAGGCTGGAACCTTCAGGAGAATTTTTTTTTGAGGTGTTCAGTAGGCCGGCTCTGCCGAGGGTGGGCACCTGGAGCTCTGAGTGGCTGGCCCGGAGGTCAGGGCCATCGAGAGGGCCTGGGTCATCCGTCTGGCCTGCAGGGGAGGAAGCGATTTCTGCCAGCACCTCCAGGTCCTTCAGGATCACCTGGGGAGAGAAGTTTTTTTTTAGGGATGAGCTCTCCGCTGCGAGCTGTGCTGACCTGGGCAGAGGTGCGGTTTTTTTTTTAGAGCCACCTGCAGAGGTGGGGAGGGGTCTGCAGATGACAGCAGGCTGGGTTTTTTTTTTAAGGCCACAGCTGGGGCATGCTCAGAAAAGTGAAACAAAGGATCCAGATTTTTTTTTTCACAGACTGCAGTGAATGGGGCCTCTCGGGGAAGGAAACTGGAATCCGAGGTTCAGCGAGTCAGCTTCCTCATGATCCCTCTCCTCTTGGGTCCCTTGAACTGGGCTCTTTTTTTTTTTGGGAGTCACAGGACTCAGGAAGCAGAGTGTTGTCTGCACAGTGTGCATTTTTTTTTTTCCAGGCTCCACAAGACTCCCACATTGCCCTCCAGGCCATGTTCCACTATGTTTTTTTTTTGGAGCAGCCACGGCTCCGCCCACCATCAGGCCACAGAACAGCTTCTTCTTTTTTTTTTACATCAGGCCACTGCAGACCCTAAAGGGCCCTCCACATGTGGCGTGCTACTTTTTTTTTCAAGGTAAAGGACTTCCCAATGTCCGGACATGTCAGGTGGTCCTCGGTGGTTTTTTTTTGTCCCTGCACAGATTTGGGTGGGGCAAGGCCCCAGCCTGACCACCTGCCTGCTGAGTTCTTCTGAGACAGAGGCAGAGGAGGGCGTGGGGCCAGCGCTGAGTGTGAGTGTTTTTTTTTGCTGTGTCACAATGTCCCCAGGGTTGCTCTACAGCCCCTGTATCCTTAGATTTTTTTTTTCCTTGCACAGCACCCATCTTTGCCTGGCACCAAGAGCTGGCATGCGGGCTTTTTTTTTCCCACCACTCTGCTGCAATGGGCAGTAGGGAAAGGGGCGGGGGCCCTGTGTGTGTGTGTGTGTGTACCTGCCCCAGGGGCTGCTGAGGCTTCCTGGCCACCTTCTGCTGGCTGTGCTTGTCCTGCAGGGAACTCCTCACACTGCAGGTGGTCGCCTGCTCTTTCTGTCTTTTTTTTTTCTCTTGCTCTGGGCTAGTGACTGTGCCTGTCCCCTCAAAAGGTGTATCTCCGGACTGCCCTGTGCCCAGCAAATGCCCAACAAACATCAGTTGAATGGGTGGTTGCCTTTTTTTTTTCCTGGGCTATTCTGAGCCCAGGCCAAGAATAACCACAGCAACCGGGGGCTTCAGCCCTGGACCAGGGGAAGTGGGACAGAGCCTGATGGGCAGGGCCACATGAGCCAAGTTTTTTTTTGTGGCTGGAATATGGGAATACAAGATAAGGTTAGCACTGTAGGGCTCCTATTTTTTTTTTAAAACGTTCTGGAATTAGACTGGGGTGATGGTTACAAAAAGCTTGTGAATTTTTTTTTAGCCAGTGAATTCTATGCTTCAAAAGGGCAAATTTTACCTCGAAAACAAACAAGATAAGGCCTACCTCCTTGAAAGCCGTTCCTGTCAACGCAAACACAGTGCCAGTGCCTCCCCCACACTACCCAATTGTCACTTCTCCTCTTAGTTCCTCTAGGCCAGCCCTGGCACACCTGGCCGGGAACCCCTTTGCTTGCTCACCCATTCCCGCCCCTCAGTCTTCAAACAGTTTTTTTTTTTGGCACGCAAACTCCCAGCCTCATCCAGGCAGGAGCCGGGGCTCACTCTCACAGACCCGCCTCCTGCTGTCCAATTCTGTACTTCCCTTTGTCCCTCTCCCACTCATGTTTTTTTTTATGTCTGTGGGCCCCTGAGCCCCTGCTCTGTGCCAGTGGCTGCGCTGGATTTTTTTTTTGTACAGGTGAGTCACAGCCACCCCTGCCCATGGCCTGGCACACAAAATGGTTTTTTTTTGAATCCACGTGGCTGAGATACATGGCTGCCACACAGCCCAGTCATATGGCTTTTTTTTTGGGTGCTCCTGCACCCAGGCCAGGAGCCGGGGATCCCTGGGCGGGTCTCATTTTTTTTTCAGGGAGGGCTAAGGCCTCTGCTCCCACTGAGGACAGAGCCTCCAGGGATTCTTTGCTTCAGCCAATGAAGAAAGACACAGGGCAGAAGCCAGGATGGGAAAGTGGCACTTTTTTTTTTGACGCCGCAGTCCCACCCAATTCAGCCCCTGCACACCTGCCACGGCAGGATGTACAGAGGCCACGCACCCCAATGCTTGCTTGACTGTCCAAGCACGGCCAGGGAGGGGACTTGAGACCAGGAAATGGAGTTGGGGGGAGGGTGGGGGAATGACTCACCCAAAATTAAACAGCGAGCAAGAGTCAAGCCAACAGCTCCTCAAACAGTTACCCAGAGAGCTGCCATATTTTTTTTTCCACTCCTAGGCAGTTACCAAGAGAACCGCAAATGTCTGTGCACATCAAATTTTTTTTTAAACGCTCACAGCGGCATTTTTCCTAATAGCTAGAAAATGGAAATAACCCTTTTTTTTTGCAGTGGAGACACGAAGAGATGGAACGTGGCACATCCACACCAGGGAATATTTTTTTTTAATAAAAAGAAATGAAGTACCTGCTACACGTGGATGAACCTTGAAAAAACTTTTTTTTTAGTCAGTCACGAAGTCCACACCCTGTATGACGACTCCATTAACAGGAAATCCACATAGACAGAGGGTGGATTTGTGGTTGCCAGGGGCTGTGGGGAGGGAGGCATGGGGTTTTTTTTTTAATGGGTGCAGGGTACATATAGGGCTTCTTTCTGGGGTCATGAAAATGTTTTTTTTTTAGTAGTGATGGTTGTATAATCTTGTCAAAATACTAACAGTTACTCTATGGTTTTTTTTTGAAGTATAAAAGTATACTTTTATACTTCTAAAGTATACCATAGAGTCGTTTTTTTTTTTTTTATGGTATGTGAGTTGTACAAAGAAAAAGGGGGACAGGCCAGGCGCGGTGGCTCACGCCTGTAATCCCAGCACTTTGGGAGGCCGAGGTGGGAGGATCACAAAGTCATTTTTTTTTGACCATCCTGACTAACACGGTGAAACCCCATCTCTACTAAAAATACAAAATTTTTTTTTGGTATGGTGGTGGGCGCCTGTAGTCCCAGCTACTCGGGAGGCTGAGGCAGTTTTTTTTTATGAACCTGGGAGGCAGAGCTTGCAGTGAGCTGAGATCACGCCACTGCACTTTTTTTTTGGCGATAGAGCAAGACTCCATCTTATAAAAAAAAAAAAAAAAAAAAAAGGTTTTTTTTTGACAAAACCCCAAATCAGCAACCTAATTCCTAACCCATCTGCTCTTGCTCTTTTTTTTTCCCGAGGTGGTAGCGTCTCACCCACTCCCTGGGGTCCCTCGCCTGATCCAGGGGAGAGGAGGAGCATGGGGAGGCAACCCGTGTCTCTTTACATCACTTCGCCCCCCGCCCCCATGCTGCCCATCCCACCCAGGTCTGTCTGTGCAAGGGGACAGAGGCACATGCCTCTGGGCAGCCAACACTGGTGGCCACGTGCAGCAAGGGAGGAAGTGAGGAGAAAAGTGTGATTTTTTTTTGCGGCTGGGGCCAGGCCAGCCCTCGGCAAGATCCCTGTGCTATGCGGACATTTTTTTTTATGCTGGGTATCCAGCAGGTACCTATTTCCCTGTCGGAAAAGAGGTCTGGTTTTTTTTTCCAAGAGGCCTGGCCTGTGCAAGGCTGTTTCCACCCCTTGAGTGGCTCCAGGGCCAGCGGAGCAGGCTGTCCTCGCTCCCGGCCACAATGAATGCCCTTACTTGTCACCAGTCTCACCTCACATGATACACACAAGGGATCTGAGACTTGGACAGTCACTTGCTCAAGTTTTTTTTTAGTCCACCTCAAACCCAGCTCTGGTCCCCAAACCTGAGCCTGCTGATAACTTTTTTTTTGGTGCTGTGGTCAGACAGTCCTGACATCCAATCCTGACCCTGGACCAGTTTTTTTTTTTCACACAACGCTCCCTTTCCGGACAGCTACTGAGCAGCTGCTGTGAGCTGGTCCTGTGCTGGCTATAAGAGACACAAGGCCAGACAGGCCAGGCTCTGCCTTCAGTGAGGTCACAGACTCCCGGAGGAGTCAGGCAGTGAGCATTTACTGATGATACAGGGCGGGTGCCTTTTTTTTTGTGATGATGCCTGAGGGGAGCCAGGAAGCTCTGGAAGTAGTTAAGCATGATTTTTTTTTGGGAGTGAGAAGGGAGAGAAAGGCATTCGAGAATGGCATTCAAAGCATTCTTTTTTTTTGCATAAGCTATTCATGGATGCAGAACCACGTGGCACATTCCAGGAAACTAGGCTTTGGGGCCAGCTCCAGAGTGGGGAATGGGGCCAGAGGTGAGGGTATGGCCAGAAATCAGGCCAAAGTGGTAGGCAGGGCCAGACCTTCAAGAGCTCATGACACAAGGCCAGGTGCAGTCGCTCACACCTGTAATCCCAGCACTTTGGGAGGCTGAGGCAGGCGGATCACTTGATTTTTTTTTTTCAAGATCAGCCTGGTGAACATGGCAAAACACTCTCTCTACTAAAAATATTTTTTTTTGTTGGGTGTGGTGGTGCGAATCTGTAATCCTAGCAACTCAGGAGGCTGAGTTTTTTTTTTTGCTTGAGCAGAGGCTGTAGTGAGCTGAGATCGCACTACTTCACTTCAGTTTTTTTTTCAGAGTGAGACTCTGTCTCAAAAACAAAAACAAAAACAAAAAACCATAAATTTTTTTTTAGCTCATGACATAGACAAAGAAGTCTGAACTTCATTTTGCAGAGGATGGGTTTTTTTTTTTCCTCATATGCGCAATGGAGATTGGACCTTGCCAGGCTGTTGTGAAGGTTTTTTTTTTTACTTGATGTGCAAAGCACGAAAAGCAGGCACACAAGAAAGGCTGGCTCACCACTTCCATTCCAAGATTTCAGGTCCTACAGCTGAGCTGTTCCCCGGCCCAGGCTTAGTTTTTTTTTACGGACAGCAGTGCCCACACCAAGGGCTTCCGACCCCGCTTTCTCCCCTGCAGAGAATGTGCTTAGCCCACCTCAGTACTC